TTGAAACCAAACTAAGTGCTTCAAACCACTCACCAAAGTATGGATTATGCAATATGGATTCATCGCGAATGAAGAGAAAGCGGAACGTGTGCGCCAACATGCTGCGTGGTTCATCTTACGTCGTTAAGTTCCAATGAGTTTTTACGTAAAAACACAAACAAAACGGCACTTTCAGGGCCACCACACACTCCAAAAAGAGAACTACCGTAACAAACACACTATTTAAATAAATCAAACACGTTCATTTTTGACAAATAAAACTTTATTGTTGACCCCATTCTTGGCTAAAAATCACCCTGGGCGTTTAACCAAGGATGTCCCCAACATGTAACTTTTGTGAAAACAGGGGGGTGGGCGCTTGCCCAGGGAGGGGCGCGTGCCCGGGGTAATACGGTACTCATAACTCTGCGTATTTAGATTTTTATTTAGATTTTTTACTCATAATTGGCATGTTTCACGTACATATTTACTATATTTATTTACTAATAAACCTATGTTACAAGCACGGCATGGAACAGTATGTAAATATAAATACATTGTGCCTGTAACATGTGCTTGCAGGGTAGTTTAATTAAGTATTTCATCTGTTAGAGACGTGTGCATTTACACCCCTCCATGTATCATAAGCAAACTGTAAATGTTTCGCCACATACAGGTTTCAAGTATTTACCAACAAAAACACAACATTAGTTTCCCCATGAAGATGATGGGGAGAGGGCGTGCAATGTATGGATCTTATAAAACAATAGGAAAGACGGAAGTGAAACCTGGTGAAAAACTCACAGCGGTAATTATATATTATATTGAGTCATGTAAAGCTTTTCAAAAGATGTTGCCTGATTGGATACTTATTCCTAACGCATAACAGTCGGACCAATCAGAGAGCAGCTTGTGTTTTTTACAATGTATCAAATTCTGTTTTGACAATAATCAACTATTTCTCTCTGCCGCCATCGAAGATGAGAGAGCAGAGCTCATCTGTCAAACTACCAACAGTTCCAGAATTATTCTAATTACCATATTTGATGTATTAGAAGCAATTATCAACTAGATATATGCATTTGTTTTTGACTCCCATGTGCGAAGCACAAAATGGGAGTCTTTGCAGTTAGTGTGTCTGTATGTGTGTATGTGTGTATGTGTGTATGTGTGTGTGTGTGTGTGTATGTGTGTCCGACTGTTCCACTGCTATCTCAAGAACCATACATCGGTTTTTGATGAAACTTGGTGCATAGATT